TATTCAATTTTTTGGTCAAATTAAATTATTTTTCTTCCTTAATTGGATTAACGAACATTTTTTTAGCGTTTCATATATTTAAAGTATAAAATACATACATACACATTACTTTTTGGTTATCTTGGAATTTATAAATTTATCTATAAATCACATAAAAATTTCTTTTCTTTAATAAATCAATTTTTGTATACTACTGCAAAATATTTTGATAAAGCCTTTTATGATGATATTACAATCATGAGAAAAAAATCCATCATAAAGAAGGCAAGATTTTTATCAGAAGCAGAAGAAACATCCTGTATATTAGATGAACAAAATGGTAAAACAGAAGAAAATGAAGATATATCTAGTGAAAGAAGTAAACTCAATACAGAAATTAGAACATTTGATGAAGATACTAATAATGAACTTAATTTTTATCTCGATGACAATAATATTACGAATGACACAGAAAAATGTAAAAAGGCATCCTCATACATAAATTGGAGAGGAATGGATTATGTTAATTTGCTATTAAATAAAAAAGAAGATTATAATATCTCATGTCTTGTTGAAAAATGGAAAGAGAAACAAAATTCTTTTCAAACAAGTATAGTTCAAAAAACAAATTCAGCATGTAATGAAAAAACGTTTAATTATTGTGCTATTTTGAATAAAAATAATGGCTGCAGTAGACCTTATGAAAATAATGATCTACCAGTAAGTACATTAACATACAATCAACTCAATGAAACTAGTTATAGTGATAATAAAACTCAAATTATTGAGCAAAGACAGCTTAAATTTGACAATGTTACTAATGATATATCTTATTACTATTACAGAAGGTATGAAGATGACAAATCTGAACTTAATTGTGGAAAGTGGAGTATGTATATATATAAGAGAGGAATGCAATTTGTTAACATGTTCGCCAGTGAATTTTATGATGATCCATTATATATAAATAATTCTATTCAAATATGGAATGATTATAGTAATACAATGGAAAAAACTGTGCTAGAACAGACTGGTAATAAATGTAATATGACAACATTAATTTATCAAATTAAAGAACGAAAAAATACAGATGATCCTTATAATTTAGATTGGCTTTCTTCAAATAGCACTCAAAATATATCTAATGAAACTTTAAATAATGCAACTGCATTACCAGATACATTACAAGATACATTACGAGATACATTACCAGATACATTACAAGATACATTACGAGATACATTACCAGATACATTACCAGATACATTACGAGATACATTACCAGATACATTACCAGATACATTACGAGATACATTTCCAGATAACTTACCAGATACATTACGAGATACATTAGCAGATACATTACCAGATAGCTTACAACCTACAACTGTAACTCCTAATGTATTGCATAATGATACTACTACAGGTTCATTGGGTAACAATACGACTAGTGTTAATGATGTAGATGGTACCAGTCCCTCTGAATATACATTAACAAAGGACACTTCAGTACCACCAGTTGCTGTAGATCAAATTGTCCCAGGAACTGCAACCGCAATTTCTCCAGAAGACTCAACACAATCCAATTCTTTAACTCCAAAAGATACAATACATTCTAGTACTAATACTATATCTGGAACAACCTCATCATCACATTCCCCTGAGGTTCTAACATCTCCTACAACTGAAACATTACCTTCAAATTCTACTACAAGTAGTGGCACACCTTCAGTTACACCTTTACCAGGAGAAATATCTCCTACAGCGACCAATGAATATTCTAATACTACTATGAAGACATTTACAAATAATATTACAGCTTCTACAACATCCACTAAATCTCCTGCAACTTCTTTACCTTCTGAAAATGTAACTTTTGTAAATAAAAATATATCTACAATTGGCAATACATCTGTTACAAATGTTACTGCATCTCCTTCAATTGATCCTATTTCTTCTCCTGAGATTGCACCTTCTCTTACAACTATGACTACGACTCCTACAGATAGCTCTACACCTCCACTACCTTCATCTATTCCAAAAATCACAACTTTGCCATCTACAAATAATTCTACATCACGTACAAATGATATGCCTATTCATCCTACTAATGATGTTACTCATAAAACTGCAACTTCACCTTTTTTGACAAATACCACTGAAAATTCTACTGCTACCATTGAACCATTTACCAATAAAATTGCATCTCCTGAAACTGACATTATATCTCCTGCAATTAACACTACATCTCTTATGTCTGATACTATATCTCCAACTCCACTTTCGAATTCTCTAGATAAAACACCTATTCTCACAACTACAACTGCTTTTTTTCCTACAACAAATAACAATTTACCTTCAAATCAGACAGATATTATCCAACTGCAGAACCAACAAAATATACATGTCCCTCTTAAACAGGTTCAACAACATGTAAATGGAAGGAATAGTACTGAAAATATTTCACTAAGTACCACTGTGACTGTTCCAAATATTTCGACGCCAATTCCACCAAGTGATCCTACCGAAGTTACGCCTACTGTTACACCTAAAGGTAATTTGTTAATACCAATGGTTCCAGTAGGTATATTTATTTTGGGAATTATTTTTCTTTTGGTTCTTATTTGTAAAGTAAGATAAAATTAACATTTAAAAATGAGGAAACTTATATATTTAAAATCATAATTACATTAATGAAGAATTTTTATAATTTTTTATTTTTTAATTTGAATTATAGTGTACTCCTATTGGATCTTGGATTCGTAATAGGAAGTCGAAAAAAAAAAAAGCAAGAAAAAAGATTAAGAAAATAACAAGGGAACCGTTGCTAATGGATACAAACAATATAAAGAATGAACCAATAAATAATGAAAATTATTCGTTCTTATACCAGGAAAAAGAAATACCACTATATGATATGATTTTGGAAAATGAAAAAGATTTGAAGTATAAACATTTAAAGAAATCCAAAGCACATAAAGGAATGTAAAAAAAAAAAAAAAAAAAAAAGAATTGAAATAAAATATTTAAAAAAAAAAAAAAATTTAATTAATAATAATATATAAATAAAGGGGAAAAAAACAATAAATAAATTACTTGCATGTAATATATTTGATACAAAATAAATTATATATATATATATTGAAAATTAGAGTTGTTGATTTTTTTTTTTTGTTATTATATCTTATTTTTTTTTTTTAATATAGTTAAAAGAGATAAAATAAATTAAAATTAAAGGAAAATATATATGCATATAATACAATCACATATAAATACATATTTTTTACATTTAAAAAATTATTGTATTCTTTAATTTTTTTTTTTAAGAATAATTAAAATTTTCTTTTTTTTTTTTTTTTTTAATATAAAAGATATAATTGCTATTTTACTTGTGCGTAAAATGTACATACATTTTTTTTTTTTTTTTTTTTTTTTTTTTTTAATATTTTTTTTTTTTTTTTTTTTTTTTTTTTTTGTAAATAGGATGTTTATCTGAATTACTATTTAAAAAATTTCAATAGATATATAAAATTTAGTAAAATGAGAAAACTTATGAACTGTTAGGAGCATAAAAGTATTAAATATTTTGATTCAAAAAAATATTCAATTGAATATTTCTTATTTATTTTAATAATCTTGGTTTTTGAATAATTAGATTTTGAAAAAATATTTATTTCTGCAACTAACTGTTTCTTTGGAATTGCTAAAAAAATAAGAAAATTATAAAAAATAAATATAGAAATTACAAAAAAAAAAAAAAAAAAAAAATTCATACCTTTTAAACCAGGAGGGCTGTTCTTGATCCTCCTTCAGAAATGTTGCTGGAGCAGATTAGGATAAGATTTAAACTAGAGGAACCATTCTAAGGAAAAATTTGAATTTTGTGAGCAATACAGATGGAATAAAGTGCTGGAGAGTTTTCTAGCTATTCTACTGACTTTTCTAATGACACTGTCAATTTATTTTATTTTCAGTTTATAAAATACAGTACAGGACATCTGAACATGTCCATATGAACAAACTGTAACTTAACTTTTTACAGTGCACAAGTGATGAAAGGAGAGGAATGCAGTAATTTTGTCATAGACTCAAGAGCAATGTTTTTTAATATGTTCTGAAATTTGTAAGTGAAATAACTAATAGGTTTAATCACACAAAACCATTTTTATTTAATCTAAAATTTTAAGGAACTCAATTTCTGTTCAATTTACAAGTCTAACATTTGTATAAGTTCCATAATGTTTTCTGTTTTTTTTTTTTTGTTGTTGTTTTGTTTCTTTGTTGGTTGATTGGTTGAGATTTTTTTTTTTCTGAAAGTATCAGCATTGCTTTCCCTTTGATCTGTTGGCCTTGTCTATATTTTAAATGACAAAAACTCCTTTGGAAAAAATGGGTAGAAAGAAATAAAAGTATGTTAGAGAAATGGAAAAGAGAAGAATGGTTTATTAATTTGAAAGA